TAGCAGAGAAGGAAATTCGGGAGGGGTCGTAATGTGCGCGAAATTTTTTCCCAGTGACAGGAAGTGCACTGGTCCCATACCAAGACAGCAGAGCGAAGACGACCAGAGTCAGACTTAGCTTCGCAGACGTGATCATGCTGTACCTGTCTTGTCTGCTCCCCCCTACGCTCAACTGATGAGCCATGGGACTAGCCACTCACCTTCGGCAAGTGCTTCACTGGCTTTCTTCGACTCTCCAACCCGTTTCAACAGCGACTTTTCTGGATCTCCATCGGCATCAGCATGGGCTTCTTTGGCAGCTTTCTGGAAGAGGCAGGATTTATTTTTTGCACGCTCCTTTCATAGTCCATAGCTTGGCTATGAAAGAGGCGTGGCTACGGAAATGGCGGGAAAGGCGGAGGCAGATAGTTGCCGGGTTCAGGCAGAAATAGGGTAAGATGTTTTCTTTTGCTCTCTGCGCTCTCTTGAGAACAAGCTACCTCTCAAAAATGGGAAAGGCGTGACTGCGTACTTCACTGAACACTTCGGCAACTGCGCTTGTGACGTGGCCGTGCTTTTGTACAGCACAAGACAGAATGACAGTTCTCTTAAATGAAAACACCCCACGAAAAACGGTTCTCTCGATAGGCACAGATGAAATACGCAGCCGCGCCTCCCTCATCGCCAGGACATGGATCGCAGTTCCCTGCCCGAACCAGCAACTGTTCACCACCGCTGCCCTCACATCGATGTCCGTAGACACTCCCCTTCCAGCACCGAGATGTGGGCTCTACTGTGCTTTCGTGGAAATCAGCTCTACTCACCAGAGCGTCATCAGCAGCTTTAGTAGCATTCTTGAGGGCGTCAGCGATTTCCTCGTAAGCATGAGAAGCTTTCAAGGGGTTCTCTGCCTCAAGCTTGGTGTCCTTGAATGAGTCCTTCAACACATCTGCGGCTTTTTCCAACATTTCCGCATGTGTCGCTGCTTTTTGGACAAACACTTCGTCGTATTCATCGATAAGTTGAGCGTACCTGACGGAGAAGAACTTTCAAAGTGTCTCATAAATTGGGTGCCAATCAGTAAGGCATTCAACCCACATCATGGATATGTTCCGACATTCCGACGAAGCTTCAGCAGCAGGTTCTAACGTCTCGTTCATGGCGCGACTGTCATCAAACATATTCAGTAGTTCCTGGAAGTAAATATCTATTCACAAATTACTAGCGAAGCGTATGCAGTCTTGTTCGTTACGGACGCTGGGGCGTTTCAGGTATAAGGTCTGACGAAAACTGTGGTTACCGGCCAGCTTCGGGAGTTGGCGGAGAACAGGCTGGCGCCATGAGAAAGCCAGGGCAAGGATTTGGATGAAAATCCGTCCTGTGGGGATAGGGAAGGGAAGGCTTAAAGAAATGTGAAAGTGAAAAGCGAACAATCAATCGCTTACCAATTACATTTTTTCTTATGGGGTAGCTATGTTGAAGAAGAATTCTTTTACCTAAACTCAAAGGCAGTGGACAAGATTGCTGGAAGTAGGCAGTTGCCACCAGCATTATTCGTGGGAAATCTGGACGAAGGACGTTTGGCCACACCTCACTCAGCATTTCCACCAATGACAGTCGCGACAACCGCCCACCCCCCACCAATCGTGCCTACTGCCTTTAACAGAGGAAAGAGCCCTCAGGTAGGTGATGGAAATTTGAATCCCTTTGAAATTACTGTGATTCCAGTCCTGCACGAAAAGTCCCCTGAATGCCTCCACACTCACTTACTCCCGGATTTTTACTCTTTCTAATGATGTGGTCTACGCTTTCCTACCCCCCCCCCCCCTCAGAGCTCGATCGACAAGCTTCCCACCGACTTGGAGATAAGGTAGATGAAGTTGGATAGATAGACTCCAAGTTAATGAGGTAGCGCTGAAGGACCACTTTTGTCCATCGCGTCGCGAATGCTTACCTTTCCTTTGGCATTATCGACGGAATTTCGAGCTGCAGCCAGATCATCTTCAGCCTCAGCGCGGAGTTTTTCGATTTCGTTGCTAACTTCCTGAAAATCATGTCTGAAAGTGCGAATAACAGCGTATCGTAGGATGTACTTGGACACATCCGAGTAGTGGCAAAACTGGTCCAAGATATGATCCTTTGTAGGGATGGTGTCACGTGCGCGTCATTCGCACCGGGAATCATGTAATCTGGCGCGGCAATATCAGGTCAGCTAGCTAGAAAATACTCCGCTAGCGCGCGATGTCACGACTCGAATTTTCATCCTAACCAGCAATCCAGTAATCGCTCGCACGCACGCGTATCGCGGGCGATGGGGAGGGCGTGACTGCTACTTTATTTTAGTGGGAGCGGTTGCTCCGAGGAGGACGAACATTGCCGTTTTGGGACAACTGTAACCTTATCATTATTCAGCACAACAGAGGATGACAGTTGTTTCGGATGGAAATGTCCCACGAGAAGCACACCCCATCTTCGTATGCAGCTCTTAGCCACGCCCTCCCCATCTCCGGGATATAACGAGAACATCCGTACCTTGTATCGATCGATGCGTTTGGCGACAACATTGCTCATCCGTTCCGCCTCAGCGGTATCTCGTCTGGCGCTGTCGTAGATGGTAGCCCTAAAATCGAAGGCTGGGAGCTGACAACTATGTGATGGGCAACTCATCAATCAATACCTGTAGTCCTCTAGCCACTGGTCAAATTCATCCAGTCGATCTTGGATATTCTCAAAAGACGTATCATTCAGCTTATTGGCAAATACCCTCTTCAGCAACTCCTCGTTTTTCCTGGAAATGGTTTCAACTGAGTGTTTTTCCATGGAAAATCAATAAATCGATAAGAGTACTTGTGTTCCTGTTCAGCACGATTCAATCTCTTCTCGATGTACTCGCCACGATCGAGGGTGGCATTGTAATGAGCTTCGGATTCGCGAACCCATGCGTCCAATGTCGCTCCACCTACGGTGGTCCCACCGTACTAGAAAAGATATCTGGGGCTTAGAAATGAACGAAATTCTGCATAAAAAGGTGGGGAGGAGTGCAGTGAAAACAAGTTCATACCATGTGGAAGTGCTTGAGGAATTGAGTTGTGTTGAATGCGTTGCTATAAGTGAGCTGAGCGTCCAGAATCAGTTTCTCGGCCAAAGCGGTGAATTGTTCCAACGATGTGACGCCTTTGGTCATTCGTTCCATTTGGAAGCGAGCCTGTAATCATGTAAAAGATGAAGTTTTATAGGGGATGAAGGAGTGGAAATTGCAAGAGAAATGGAAAGCTTCAGAATGTTGGAAAAGCTGGGTCACGAGGGGGTGTTTCGCTGCCATTTACTCACAACTTGAGGACAAACAGAAATTCGTTTCGAATAGGAACTAGAAAATATTGCTCACCCCTTCAACAACTGCAAATGCTTCTTTGGCATATTTGCTGTCCCTGACGATTCCGCCCACTTCGCCGTCGCCTTCGTCCAGTCCTCTCATGAACTCGAACATCACTAAATCATAGCCAAAAAGTTACGGTTATTAAATGAGTCAACTAGCTACCATTATGAGCAGACACTATAATAAGTTACTCGCCAGATGCAAACCTTTTCTTCACTCTACAATTCCGATTTTTTTGCGTGCTGAAGGCAACTATCCGACATTTTGCTCCTCTATACAGTCATTCGCCTACAGACCCAGGCGTATTAGGCTGGGTTTGGGCACGCACGCCAGCCCGCTCTCCAAGAACCCGTACTGCAAGCAATAAATCGCTTTGAAAAGAACGCCGCGCGATGATACACCTCTCTGACTTCTCACCAAAACGACTACAGTTACTTCTCAATTGATTTCTTTTCTTATCCTCTTATTCGTCAAAATTTGCTATGCATGCAGTTCAGTTACTCATAGCTACATCCCACCCACGGAACCCCCTTGGAAATAAGGAAATTACTGCAAGGTTCCTCACATTCGGTGTTATTTCCGATTCGGGAAAGTCGTTTCCATGGGATTGGGCGCAGAGTAGTGAAGTTCTGATTGGCCAACGTCATCTCTAACTCATCAACCATGGTCATCAGCGGTAGATAACAGCCTTGATCACAAGCTGAAAAGAAAGGGGAGTTCAAAATCTGTCAAGGTAAAGAAGCGGAAAAGAAACCAAAAGAGAAGGTTTCAAAACTCCTATGGAAGAGAACGAACAGGTGCAAACTCCTCCAATGAAAGCGTGACGATGCTGGCAACGACTGCAGTCTCTTCCAGTCACTCCGACACGACATTCGCATTGGCCAGTGAGTGGATTGCAAGCGCCGTTCAGTGAGCCGTCTGGATGGCAGTCACACGACTGGCAGAATCCGCCTGGCATCGATGGTTCACCGAAATAGCCCACCACACAGCTGAAAATAATCACTGATACGATTAAAAGCGTCTCGTAAGGCGCCTCCGGAAAAGGAGGTGGTAATAGCAGGTCACAGCATCAGAGAATCGGGGGATCGCACTGAAAGAGGAACTTTGGGAGGGGGAGTGGGGTCATGCTGACACGGCCATTTCACCCGTTCCGATGCTATCCCGGGCGCTGATGCTGCTTCAGTGCAGTGAGGAGCTTTTGATCGGCACGATGCCTTCAAAACGACCCAGCGACTAAGAATATTTGGCGCGTTCATGGAAACAGGTGCTAGGACAGGATCAGAGTGCGGGATTCGTGATTTACTCTCTCATAGCCCTCGACAAGCGCGCCACGAACGACTGAAACCTTTCTAGCGCACGGGCCGAGCACTGCGGCCTCCAGAAGCGTTTACCCTGATTCCGTCTG